TGTTACTAAATTGCCAAATCGTTTACTTGATTTTGTATTGGAATGATTTGACGAATTTTAGATTATAGTTAAACCGGCCTGCGTGCTGAGAATTGTGCTATTTTATTGGCACTGTTAGTTATAGTTGTAGTTGTTAGAATCAATCTGCGAATTGATTTATTTTCTTATGATGAATGAAAGATGGATGAGTGAGGACACTCATAGTGTCAGAAAGGGCCGAGTGTTAGGTATTTTATTCAATATCATCGACAACATCCCGTATTTTGGTATTTTGAGAGCGGATGTCACTTTTGAAATATAATTAATTAATCCGGTTGTCAATGATCGAAAGGTTGAATCTGTGCGTGAGAGGGATATTTTATGTATTTTGGTTATATTAATAAATACTGCCGTCGTTAAAAGGGGTATTTACTATCAATAGTGATATTGAAATATGTCAAAAATATGTTCACGAGTTGAGTACAAGACAGAGGTGGAATCGAGAGGGTGTAATATCACAAATGAAACTGATTTACTACCTAATTACCTGTCTCAGCATGATCACACTGCTGACGTGCATTTATCTATGTAAGTACCACCAGCCACTCCAAAGCAGCTGAATCTGAAGAAGATGCCCAATGGGGTTTTGAATGATGTTTTTATCTGTGACTATCAAGATCAATTTGGAAGACTTCTGGGTCATCGAATATTCCATGACACTTTCATGTGCGATTTCCAATGTGAGTTCATCTATGTAAGTACCATCAGCTGTTCATTAACAACTGAACCTGAAGAATGTGCTCAAATGGATGTTGAAAGTAATAGTGTTTTCATTTGTGACTTTCAGGGACAATATGGATGGGTTAGAAAATCCAAAAGCATGAAAAAAGGAAACATTCTTTGACAGAAGATTTTGGGTCATCAAACGATCAAACTTTCTATATTCCACTACACTTTCAAGTGCATTTTCCAACGTAGGTTTCAACCTCTGAAGTAGAACTCTAGAGCCCACCTAGAAACACAAAGGTGTACCTATCAATAGTTTATGGTCAAAGTTCCACCGAGACATTATAAACCATTTAGGTGTGTCAAAAGTGCTATATATAGTATGTGCAGTGTTTTCTCGGAAGAGAATACATTCCTGGATATACACCTGATATATTATAGAATCAGCTAGAATGCATATGAATATAGGTGATTTACCACTCAATTTATCTATCATTACCACTGAAGTATCTATTCTTTCATTTTGTTGTCAGAAATGATGATCATTTCAAATTTATAATATAGTTATTTATTATACAAGGGAAAAAAGTAGTAGATTTTAGCTCCAGGTTGTGTTGTCTCCCGACGCGTAGCGGAGGGAGACAAAAAACCGTGAGCTAAAATCTAATATTTTTCCCGTGTATAATACGCTATTTTTTTCTGTGACAGAAGGAAGGACGAATCAATATTGGGGAGATATTACATTATTTCGAAATCTGAAAATTATCGACGTGAAATTTCAAGTTTTTAACAGTAGGGACACCTGCGTTTTATATACATCTTTATCATTCTTTTGAAGTAATCAAATATCTGATGTCACTTCTGTCAGTTAAATTCTGTGATTTGATTTTGAAAAATTGCGAATTCAGTAGTTGTTTAGTAATATACGAAACCGCGAAGTCGAATGGAAGATAAAAGGACTTGCAGTTCTTTCTCGGAGACGGTATTATTGACTTATTTTTCGGAACTATAGCACAACAAAAGCCATTAACAGAGTATATATATATGTGATATATATCCGGGAAAGAAGTACTCACTTTTTTCCCACGGGAAAAAAGTAATTTATGAAAAGTGACATTTTATAACCTGCCAACAGAGATGAAATGCCAAACTTTTTTCCCGTCACAGAAAAAAAATTTTTATCTTCAATATTTTGTCTCTATTAACATATAGGTATGATGTTTTCTCAGTGATTTATTTGAAACTCTCTAGGACTAGGCACTGAAAACAATCAGACATGGAACAATACAAACGAGGAGGTAACTACAACCTAAGTTTATAGGGTTATCCAAATATTGAGTGTCCACCATAGGTAACTTTGTTATAATTGAATATACAACATTGTTCAAATTATTAAACTTGCAGTATTTTCAATGCTCTTTATGATGAAAGAATAAGAATGAACATTTGAGTATCACGTTTTTTGTAACATATAATGAGAAATTTCCTTCTACAGTCAGGAATACCTATGTACCTACTGATAGTTTATCGATTTGAACAATTTTGTATCTTCAATAATAACAAAGTTATCAATATGGCTGTCGACACTCAAATTCCTGTATATTTCTCGAAATGATCAAGTACATCATTTTGGATTCATCTCACATATATTACTCTGTAACATTCATTTGAATATCATTATAAGAACAAATTCGTTACTCATAATGTATCTGAGACATGTATGCAATGTTACTCCGGAAACGCTCAACATATGTCAGATATATAAGGGACATATTCAGGGAGGCGGAAATTTGACGTTACATGCAAGATACATTAACTGTACAGATAATATGTTTGCAACATCGGATGAGAACAGAACTATGTGGTTGTTATGTATCAGATATGTATTTGTGTTTGCTGGGATTAGTATGTTACACAGACGGATCCCGTCTGACTGACAAACAGAGGCCTCGGGCGCAGGGATTTATCTCGAGGGGGGAAACATACGAGAAAGCTACGGTCTAGGAGAATACACCACAGTTTTCCAAGCTGAGGTGTTCGCCATCCTGGTCGTAGCAGAGAGGCAAGAGGTGAAAGAGGGACCAAAGCAGAAGATCTACATCTGTTCGAATAGTCAGGCAGCACTCAACGCTATCTGTCATCCCAGACCAAGCTCAGCATTGGTACAGGAATGTGGAAATGCCCTTGAGATATTAGCCGAATCAAAGGAAGTTGAACTGGTATGGGTCCCGGGTCACAGTGGGGTGCCAGGAAACGAAACAGCAGACGAACTTGCTACACTGAGAGAAACTGGTTATTAAAAATATCTACCAGCTCTGATTGTAATAAGCATTATAAAGAAACCTCCTATTCCTGATCATTTTATTATTACAACAGTATTATCTCCATTCTGTAATTATAAAAATCGCTTTCTTAAACCATTCGTAATACCCTTGAATGGCATTTGCTATACCATCATATCGCATGTGTGTTATGACATTATGAGAATTATGAGAATTTTAGTCTATTCAGATTTTTTATTGACATAGCTCGTCTTGTGAATTAGGCATATTGGTGAATTCAGATAATGTCTGTCCCAATAATCATAACTGTTTGGGTTTCTAGCATTGTACGTTGACGAATAACTATAGCAATTCACATGTATGACGGTTATTAGACAATCATTCGACAATCGTAATTCGACTCATTTCGCTTCAGTTTTTCATTTGTTTCGGGGCTGACAAAGCTACAAGACCGCGTTCATTTCCACTTCTGTTTTCGATCATGGGTGCCCGTGTTCAATTATTGTTCAATGGTTTCGATCGTCCGAATCGATAGAGCCGTGTCTTGGTGGGTGAAGGTGTGTGATGTAGCAACATTTTGTTTTAGTGCTGGCTGTGAACCGAGCTGTGAAATACACCGTGCATTGCATTACTGCAATGAAAAAAGTACCCTCCATTCCCACTATTCACGGCCTAAAATTGGTTTATTACGAAAAACAAAATGATCGATGAGATTCTGAATTAATATATCTGGGTTTCTGTGAGGGAAGTTTTATTGACAATTCTCATCAACACTCCGAAGGAAGAGTAAATATATGTATTCAACTTCTCATCTCTTAATAAATTCGTCAGTATGCATAAAGATGATATTTCTCCGAAAAAATCAATGAGTAATGTCAAAAAAACTTGCAGAGAGAACCAGATATTTCAATTCAGACACTAATCGAATACTTTGTTTCTTGAAAAAAACTTTGGATCATGAAAAGCAAGTGTGGATAGGATATCTCTTTTCATTGCAGTAATTCAAAGCACGGTTTCATAATGCATACTATCGAACAATGTTGAGTAGATAACCTAATTACCAGTGTTTGATGAATATACTAGAATAGATTATATTGAGATAACTGTTGATAATGAGCTATATTATAATAGCATGTCAAAATATCAGGTTTCATTCAGATATCAGATAACTATAATAAAAGAAGACGAATTACTGCGTTACCTCCAGATGGTTGTGCCAGTAATAAAAACAGGCTGTTTCATGACGATAGTCGAATAACCACTGTACAGTGGATTAGTTACTGCAACATTTATTTAGGAATAATTCTATTCGACACTCTGTGTTATCATAGAAACTTGCATAAGTAGTAGTTATTCTGCAGCGGTGTTTATACAATTTCGCGAATTTAATATGCTGCCATAACTAAAAGCCACCTGAAAATTCACTTCATCTATATGGTAGCAAATGAACACATCTGTCCTCTATTTATTGCAGATATCGTACGATTATCATATTTCCAATTATGATAACTCAAGTTTTCTCTCAGTGTATAGGGCCGGATCCGCGGAGCCGTTTCTGGGACCGGAGCCTTTACTAGGTATAGCAAGGGCCAAGAATACTGGATAAATATCACAGGTTGCAGGCAGGCCAATAAGGAATCCATGGCCGGTCTAAGCAAATCAAGGAAGGAGTGGCTGCTTGGCAGAGACCCCCAAGTACTCTGCCTCCTCATAGGAGTACTCACAGGACACAACAGGCTAGGCAGACACCTATCACTTATGGGAATAGAGGACAACCCCACTTGCCACAGATACGGGGAAGATGAGGAAATGAGTGCGGGGCGTACGGAAAGCTGGGATTTGAAATCTCTGGAGTATACAAACTCCAACAGGAGGACTTGATTATATTAGAGTGAACGGACATACTGGCCTTCAGCAGAAGGTCAGGGAGATTCGTTAGGGAAATTGAGGTGAAGGAAGCGTAGATATGTGGAGAGCAGGGGTTAGCAAGAAGTTCGTTACCATCGCAGTTTTTTAGAGCTGACTTACCTTAGGAAACCAGGTTTCTAACTTTAGACTGAGTCCGTACTGTATTTTCTCGTTTTCGACTAGTGGACATACGGTGTTTTTGAGTCCGTCACAAGCGTTATCTTGGTGTAGCCCAGCACTGTAGTCTAATTCGATAATAGCAGCTCTCGCCAGAACCTTCGGTCTGATGTTCTCTAGATAACGAGCTGTAAAACCAGAAACTTTAGCTGTGTTTTATTTGTTCCATTCTGGTAGCGGTGGTGAGAACCGAATGACGTTTACAAATGAAAGGAGAAACCTCATATCCTCGCATGGGAGAATTTATATATTTACCGAACACATGACAGTTATGACTGTCATTATTAATATCATTTTGGACAAGTGAACTATCAAATAACACACTAGTGGGTTATGGATTATAACTCACGTTCATATTCAAAGTAGTATTATATTTATTTATTACTACTGCAAGCAAGATTCACATTGATATAGAGATTGAAGGCAAATGCTAACGGTTCTTTCGAATTTGAAGTAATTGTAAAATTCGTTGGTTCATTGGAACCAGATGCTCCCATATCGGTACAGCTGCTGATAGTGTTATTGGAAGACGCCGACATATTAGAACCTTGTATTCTTTCTGCAATTTGTATTTTGTTATGCACCGATTCTTCTAGGTATCCTTCTGCTACTGTCGAGGACTTCCATCTACCGTGACGCTTCAAAATAGTCATGTTAGTCCCACACACTGCCAATTACACCTCCCATTTTTGAAAAAAACAAAGAAGCGGCTAGAACTAGTATTCTTTGGTGTCAAAGACATGTATTTTTTACACAGATTGATCGGGTTGACTGGAAATCCTTCTTCAAGTATGGTGAAACTGATCGATTTCTTGGTTTTACTGTCTCGTAAAACTACTTGAAGATATTTTCCTTTGTCTTGAGAATTCTCTATTTTCAAATTCAAAAACTTCTCTATTTCAGGTCGTTCTGATGTCTAAGACTTATTTGGTTTGTATCCCTGTGATTTTCTTTTCAAAAAGCTCGTTAGTTTACCATATTATGAAATGTCGATTTCTTCATAAGGGTGAATAGTCGAGCGAAGCATCGAGCGAAGCATCGAGCGAAGCATCGAGCGAAGCATCGAGTATTTGGTCCATAACGACGATGGGGCTAATTTTTTTGCAAATGTAAAAAATAAGCCAATAGAACGTTTCCATCGAAACCTTTTATCTTCCGTGAATTCATCCAAGACTGAAACATTTTGAACTCTTTGTCGTAAGCATCTTTTGGACTTTTGTGGCAAAATCTACGTCGCTTCGCTACTTCTTCCGCTTCCGTAACGATATCCTCAGGAACGTAATTTTCATCGGTTTCCTCCATTTTCTATACGTTTTTTTCTTCTTCAAAAAAGTTTCCTTTTTCTGCAGGGAAAACTGACAAGTGTCAACATTTATTTGAATATTTGCTAACAATGTATCATGCTGTGGCAACCTAACAAACAACCTATTTTAACCAAAATGTAAAAAAGTCACTGTCAAGTAATTCTGACATTTATAGAGTACTGAGACGTAGGTAGCTTTGATTTGATCACAAAACTAATTGATAAATATCTCATAAAATCCACTTGTTGGGTAAAACATTGTATGCCACTCTTGTGTTATGTTTCCTAACTCACTTGAGAAATATTCCTCGCATGACTTATTTTCAACAAAACACATTTGTACCATGAATAACTATTCTTTTAATTTATTTATTAAAGGACAAGCAAACTATGCAATTTACGAAAAGAAAATCTATATCTATGAAGAAGACTAACACAAAAAAATGTAGAATGCTAAAAGGAATAAAAAAGATGAAGATTATGAAAAAGGTAATTCACAGTTTTTTATCGCTTTCCTGAAAGAACATAATGATAAATTGAACAGTTCAATTCGGTAATTGTGTGTATTTGCCGTTATCATAATTCTATTCATGTTTTCATTTTGCCCATAATTTGTGCAAAAAATCTGAAATAATGTTGGTATGTAGCTTTGCATGTTTGTATCTAAGGGAATCTTCAAACGTGATTTTTACCTACTTCATTACGTCGAATTGATTTGAAACATCGCACCATTATCATGGACCGATGACTATAGCGCATATTAATAGTTTTGTTCCATTATCTTGATCAGGATTTTCATGATGAAAATGGTGGATGATGTTCCACCACCAAAATTTCAAAATGTTCCTCCACCAAACATTGAAAACGTTCCTTCACCACAATTTGAAATGTTGGTTTAGAACAACTTTATTTTTTTTATTTATTATTTTATTTGAGAGATAATGTACGAAGCCCTGATAGGGACACATAAAATAAAGAAATAAAACCCTTCTAAATGCTGAGTTAACTTTACATTCAAAATTCCGAGTTATAACTCAGAATTTCAAAATTCCGAGATATTAGTCAGAATTTTGATGTAAAATTTCGAGTTAGTCGGAATTTTACATCCAAAATTCCGAGCAATAAGTCGGAACTTTATAACACGAAATTCTAAAATTCTGAGTTATAACTCGGAATTTTGGATATAAAATTCCGAGATATAAGTCGGAATTTTAAAATTTCGAGTTATAACTCAGAATTTAGAAGAGTTAATTTTTTTTATTTTACATGTTACTTGGAATTCTTTGCCAGTGGAAGTATTCCAAAGAACTTAAAACCTCGAAATGTTAAAAAAAGATCCAACACCTACTTCCTCTCCCTATCCTCCTTAAGTACGCACGATATTCCATGAATATTATAAGAATGTCTTTTCGTGCGCTCCAAGAGATAAAAAAACTTCAGAATGCTTTTTTCATTGCCTGAGACACGGCAGTGCCTTGCACAATGCACATACTCTTATGAAATTAAACAAAAATAGTAGTTTTCATAGTTAGTCGAACCATAGATTGCCGAACTGAATAAAAGAAAATAAATATTTGTCTAAAAACTGAATGAACACGCATTTATAGCTAGCCAAAACATAGCAAACTGAGAAGAAGTGAAAAATAAAATATTAAGTGTGTTGATAAATAAACAACATAGTTCCTTTTGTTCGTCGATTTCAAGTATTTTGATCATACATTTTTTCTGCAACCGACACCAAAGTGTCCATTTCAATACCAAAATCAGCTCTTGAATTGACGTTTCTATTACTGACACAAAAATAGGTATGTTGCTAGGCAACACATTTAGTTCCTAAGAGCTGAAGTTGAACTTTAATAATAGATTGTTTTATTAGGATCAAAAGTGACACTTTGTTTGACAAGCGAATTTTGCATTTGCGAGGCGGAGCGTTTAGCGAAGCCGAGCGAAAGCAAAATTTGCGAGTCGAACAAAGTCACTTTTGATCCGAATGAAACATGCTATTTTTTCTGCAACCGAAACAATGAACTCAAATGAACATGTGAAGTAACCACCAATGCCGTGTCATATGTATGCAATGCAACAAATATTGACGAATAATCCATGTAGTGAGAATATTCTAACTGCATTAACAGCAGGCTAGGTTTTCTAGGATGTTCGAATTGTAGTTTCAATATAAATACAACCACAGAGTGACATATTTGTGTATGGACCAGGTGCTCTAATGGCAAATACCGCGCCAGTGCCAGCTATAGGAACAAGACGTGGAAAATGTTAGGTTAGTGAACATATCAATAATGATAATAGTGATTATTTATTCCTCTCCATACTACACTGTGTTTGACTTGATAATCAAATGAAGCTAAACAACATCGTTGTTTGAGACAAAAAAAAACGATTGCTTGCCGTGATTATTCAAAAACAAGTTATCCATCCCGAGAATAACGAATGAAATACAGATCAAGCAAGTATTTGAATCTTGAAGGCTTCCCTGATCAAAACAAAAATACCAAACTTCTATAATAAGGTGTATTTATATCTCCAGCATGGCTATGAAATGCCAAATCTGCTGAAATCGGAAACAAATAAGGTATGCGTCTCAACCCAAATAACCAACCGTCACAATGTTGTTCATTCTCGATGACGTCCAGTACATCCTTTTTAGTTCCTAGGAGCTAAAGTTCAACTTTAGCTCCTAGGAACTGAAATTCAACTTTAGCTCCTAGGAACTAAATATGTTGCCTAGCAACATACCTATTTTTGTGTCAGTAATAGAAACGTCAATTTAAGAGCTAATTTTGGAATCAAAATGGACGACTTTTGTGTCGGTTGCAGAAAAACAACATTGTAACAGTTGGTTATTTAGGTTACCTCATACCTGATTTGTTTCCGATTTCGGTAGATTTGATACTGTAGATATAAATACACTTTACTATAGTTGAGTATTTTTGTTTCGATCAGGGAATCCTTCAAGATTCACATACTTCCTTGATCTGTATTTCATTCGTTATTCTCGGGATGGATAACTTGATTTTGAATAATCATGGCCAGCAATAGTTTTTTGTCTCAAACAACGATATTGATTATCTTCATCTGATCATCAAGCCAAACACAGTGTAGTATGGAGAGAAATGAATTATCGCTATTATTATTGTTGATATGCTCACTAACCTAACATTTTCCACGTCTTGTTCCTATAGCTGGCACTGGCGCGGTATTTGCCATTAGAGCACCTGTCCATACATAAATATGTCACTCTGTGGTTGTATTTATATCGAAACTACAATTCGAACATCCTTGAAAATTGAATAAATCTGCTGTTAATGCAGGTAGAATATTCTCACCACACGGATTATTTGTTGCATTGCATACATATGGCACGGCAATGATGGTTACATCACATATTTATTCGAGTTAATTGTTTCAGTTGCAGAAAAAATAGCATGTTTCATTCGGATCAAAAGTAACTTTGTTTGACTCGCAAATTTTGCTTTCGCTTGGCTTCGCTCAACGCTTCGCCTCGCAAATGCAAAATTTGCTTTTCAAACAAAGTGTCAATTTTGATCCTAATAAAACAATCTATACTATTGTCGATTTTAGTTTTCTGTTGTTTCCTTACGTGAAGTGAAATTGATAGATATATAGGCTTCTCCTCCTGGTTTCACTGGGCAAGGACTTTGTTGGCATGGCTCGTCATCAATTGATGGGTAGAATAATACGTCCGGTAATATTGCTTCACCTGAACCTGAATCAGAAAACACACATAATAAATAATGGTACACATGGTGGTCACATTTTTCTGAAACCTGAACCAGATGAAAAATCTGGATAGATAGTGCTTGGGTTATTGGTTCTTGATTGATTGAATTTTATAGAACTACGAAATAATAGTATATTATGTAACAAGTGTTATAAACGTCCTTTTAGTAACGAGTATTTTGAGCACGAGCGGAGCAGAGCGGAGCGAGTGTTTAATAAACGAGTGTCTAGAAGAGTTTATAAACGCGTTACATACTATGCTTTTTCTACGGACTCCGAAAATTACATTAACATACCTGCTATTCCTGCTAACCTACAAAATAATTTGAAAGGAATGGGAATTGAGAACATAATACATGCAACTGCATGCAACCAGCGAGACACGTATAAGTGATATTGGTTGTAGATGTGTCCAGTCCATTGCTCACTAACCTTTGTTTCACGTTAATTGTCATGCTTAGCGCAGAATAAATGAATTGTTCTCAAAGATGGATGCTTCATTTTTATACTTCTTGGAGATATGCAAGTACCAGAACATTCTCTTCGATTTCACTTTTGTCTACATTCCGCATATATTTTTAATGAAGAATTCTGATACAAAAGAATATTGTTTGAATAATTCTGATACAAAATTCGAGAATAACAGTTGACAGTTGATACAATTGACAGGCCAGACATGTCTCAAATTACTGAAGCTGTTCTTTTATTCCAAATTTTTTGGGATTTTCTCTCCTCGTTTCTATAAAATAAAAATATGAATATTATTTCTAGTGAATTTTTCTTTTAGGCTCTCTGATAGGAAAATTCTTTAAACGCAGTGACATTTTGGGACAAATCATCTGATTTGTCCTTACTACACGTATATTGAAATAATATTCATATTTTTATTTTATAGAAACGAGGAGAGAGAATCCCAAAAATTTTGGAATAATGAATGTACCACCTCCTCGATTAATCTACAGACAGTACTGAAGCTGTGTTGAATGAGCTGCGTTGCCATGGTAACGTGTTTAATATTTTGAATAAATCACAGATCGACAATTCGTGATCAATCGATCATTTAGTGTGGTACATATCCGTACGCTAAATCCCATTTAAAATATGTGAGTAGAAAAATGCCATTTTAGTTATGTGAGTAGAAAAAAACAATTACTGTTGTAATTCAGTTTGGACATGTATATTCACGTCTACAATTTACTCTTAGGAATAATATCATATACGACATCTCATATGAAAAAAA